CTCTGAGGTACTACAGATAATAGTGGACCACCTACAGTTTGCACTGGTCTGCTGTTGGATAAAGTTGACCCAAACAGATCAATAATCAAGTGCTGTGCCTCTGTGGAGGCTGCTCTCCTGGTTTTGAGCTGCAATTAGCCGAAACATGTTTATGAAGTTTGCGAAATAGCTGCAAATCAAATGTCCAAAATTTTCCATTTTGTTTGTATCTACACGAATATGGAAAACAAAAAAAGTATTCAGTCTTAGGATGAAGTAAAAGCGAGAAGTTTTCATTTTCTTAAGAACTCTAAAAACAATTCTTTCTTTAAAAAGACTTGTGGGAAGTCTGAGTGCTGTCCTGGACTGTGTCACGATAACGCCAGCCCGCTGCTACAGCTGTTGAGCTCTCATTACCTCCATAATAGCAGCATTAATAGGACATAGAGACATAGTAAAAGTTAAGTACATGAATGTAAACACAGACAAACCACAAGGATTATGTAACAGAGAGTCATCAAGAGGATTATGTGACAGACGTGGCAGATAATCAGAGGGATCCTTTTTTTCTCTGTAGCTAACAGCAGGGACACTACTGGTATTATTATACTAGTAGTATAATAACAGTTTTAGCTGCAAGGCTCTGTAGTTAAGTACACAGTTAAATGGATCGGGTTGTTTAATTAACCAAGAGCTTATTTTGTGTCTGTGTAAAACTGTGTGTGTATAAGCACAGAATTAGGGATGGGAATTAATAAGAAATAGTGGTTCCAATTCCATTATCAATATCACTTCATGGATTCCATTCAATTCCTGGCTTTTTTTTTGGCTCTTCTTTAAGAATCACCACTGTTGCTAAACAGCATATCAAAGACATCATGTTCACTCTAATTAATTGCATGCTGTGTGCATAATGTATTACATATTTTACACAGAACACTGTGTAACACACACAAAGTTGTGTTAGCAGCATAATGCACTTGTTTTTGTCCTAGTCATGAATTTATTAATTTTATTTGGAAATGCAATAATAAAAATTTCCGCTGTCCAAAGTTGCTCCAGAAACCCCCACACAGGATTGAACCAGCTGAAGGTGAAATGATGTCCACAAAGCAGGCTGTGATGGGAGCACAGTGAGAGCTGCACGTAGGCTTACACAGAACAGCTGTTCTGATCACACAGTATGTGGCACTGCTGGTGGATCATGCTCTGTTTTCTGTTTACTGCAGAAGTTCAGTAGCATTGTTGCATATTTCTCACAATTGCTTATTTATTAGTTGTGTTGGAGCACACATAATTAACATTTTCTCTCTCAGAATCATTTCAACAAGTAAGCATAGTTTCTGACATCACTGAGATTTCTATGAAGTCTTGTCATAGCTTGTTTAAGACTACTTTTGATAAAAAGGTATTTGTTATGTGTTATGGCTTGAGAGTGAATATTAAATGTGAAATTTCCACCGTGACATGCGGGAAAGTCACCACATGTACTGTTAGTTAAATGGTACAATATTATCAGTTTAAAACAATAACGTACATGCACGCACACATGCGTGCACACACACACTCACACACACACGCACAGGTTGTCTGAAATGATGCATCCTCTGTATCACTGTATTTATATTAAAAAAAACTTGCCAAGAAACAGCTGGGGTTCTTGACAGAGTAGGGCTGTGTGTCTGTGTGTGTTTGTGCATTTCTGTGTGTTTGACTGTGTGCGAGCGTGACAGAGCAGCTGATCTTTTCCTGGCTGTTTCTAATTTGCACATCACCATAATGTTTTACAATCCCACTTTCAGTAAGTCCCTCCTCTGTCTCAGCTTAATGCTGTTTTAACTCTGAGCAGACTTGAGGAGCACTGAGCCAGCCAGTCCCTTTGGTGACTGAGCAGTGTGGGGACCTGTGTGGGAATAAAAGCTACTTTCACCTGCTCCTTATTCAGAAGGGTATCGCCACTGCGGGCTTGCCTGCATGTTTGATTTGGCAGTGTTTTTGCACTGGGATGCCCTTTCTGAGCCAACCCCAAAGGGATTTGTGTCTACCTCCAGCATTGAAGTAAGGCTCTTTTGCTTGTTAGGCAAATGTGAAAACCACTATGAGAATAAACAGGGTCAGTTTTCTCTCTGGAATACTGATTGATGGGTGTAGTGTACTGGCCAGTGAAATATCAATATGAAAGCAGGGGGATCCCAGGGGGACTATTCTATTCACACATCATCACAGCTGAGAATTTGTATCTTTTTTATTGTATTGATAAGCCATTGTATCGTATGGATCTTAATGATCTTCTAGAACCATATCACCCCTTTACAGCTCTTTGCTCTCGCTCTGCAGGCTTACTTGTTGTTGTTCCTAGAGTATTTAAAAGTAGAATGGGAGGCAGAGCCTTCGGTTTTCAGGCCCTACTTCTGTGGAACCAGTTTCTAGTTTGGATTCAGGAGACCGACACTATCTCTACTTTTAAGATTAGGCTTAAAACTTTCTTTTTGGTAAAGCATATGGTTAAGGCTGGATCAGGTGACCACGAGTCCTCCCTTAGTTACGCTGCAATAGGTGTAGGCTGCTGGGGAATTCCCATGATGCATTAAGTATTTCTGCTTCAGTCACCTCCCTGAGCCTGGTTCTGCTAGAGGTTTCCTCCTGTTAAAATGGAGTTTTTCCTTCCCACTGTCGCCAAAGCACTTACTCATATGGAGTTGTCTGATTGTTGGGGTTTTCTCTGTATTATTGTAGGGTCTTTACCTTACAATGCAAAGTGCCTTGAAGCCACTGTTGTTGTGATTTCATGCTATGTAAAGAAAACTGAATTGAAACTAGTTTGGCATTCTTCTAAAGACTCAGTAACACAGGCCCAGAGACTGATTAGCAACCACCTGGTACCATAATTACCAGTTACAAGAGAAAAATAAATATTACTTGACCAAAAGTTGTTGCTGGCAGTCGCCGTGGAATCAATTGCTAAAGCCTTATTCACACAGGTCTAAAGACCCGTCAAAGACCCTGGAAACTGCTGCCCACTAGTGACTATTCCACAACTGGTTGGTGAGAGGTTGCTGGAGGTTGGACTGTCACTCGAGTGAAATTGGTTGCAAAGAGTTAAACACTTTCAGTAAACCCCTCTTCTGCCTCCTTTTAAATGTGAGCAGACTTGAGGAGACGCTGCATCAGCATCTTCTGTGACTGAGCTGCAGATAGAGCTGTGAGAATGAAATGGGTCAAATCTCTCTCTAATGTACTGACTGATGTCTGTGCTGCTCCCCCCACTTTTCTTCTTCTTCTTCTTTCTGTGACTGTAAGGTTCAAGTAACTAAGCAGTGAATATTTCAGCTCTTCATCCAGATGCGATGCTCACAGGAAAGGCAGCTGATTATATTGCTGAGTGTATAATTGGTAATTAAAATGTTTCCAAAAGAGAAACTTATAAATGGAATTAGTCTACAACTCATTATAGGTGTGTCCCACAAACGGAATGTGAGTCTGTGGGAAACACTGCTCTGGTTCACATAAAGCGACCCTGCACACCTGTTTCTGATACTTTTGAGAATGTAAAGTGCAGACAAGCAACTTTGGAGGGAGAATGGGGTAGGCGGGGTATGATTATGTCATGTGCTACAATAAAAGTTTAAACATAGGCCTGACTGTTCTGCATGCGATTGATCACAGAAAGTTAAAAACATTCATCTGTAATATATGCAGTGATGGTTGAGATGGTCTTCTAACTACATCACTAGATGCAAATAGCAACATCGTCCCAGTTATCTGGAGCTGAGCTTTACTGCTTGGGATATTGTGGATTTGTTTGCTGGTTAAAGAGAAGAGCACCGGTTGGTCTGCAGCTTCATAACATTTCAGCAAACTTAATCAGACTTCAGATGTTGCAAATAAAAGTGACCTACAGGTGACCTAGTTCCTTTAGGGTATGAAGGATGTTATTAAATTTCACTAACCTATTCCTGCATGCCATATCATTATCCTGGGGATCAGGTTCTCTCTCTGTCTCCCATTCTCAAGCTTGTTACCCACCGAAAGCCTCACTGCCACAAGAACCTATTGATTTGAATTGTTAGCAATGGTAACAACTTATCTCAGGTTATCTTGGTGCCAGTACAGCATTTCTTCCTCATGCTGTGATATATTTGTACATTTGCATCACAGGTTTTAGACGTTTAACTCCAAGTCAAACATAAGCCGCTTAAACTATCTAAAGCTACCCGAGCATTAGTAAACCCACTGTTTTGCAAAGCAAATCTGTAGAACCTGAGGGATATGCTTCTATTTGAATTTTCTCTCATCTGCTATTCCACAGCCTTGTCATGAAATCCCAGTGGCCAGCAGCTTTGCTGCAAACAACCTTATGGGATTCTGCTTTGATGAGGTGCAACTTGCACCCACTAACAGATTTATAAGTGCTGTCAGAATTTATGATGGACTGCAAACCAAAAGAAGTTTGGCTTACAAAACACACACGGAAGTAGGAACAGGAGATTTTAAGCCTGTACTGTGCTTACAAGACTTTTACCACTTCCTTTGATTGATACGGCTTTGTTGGGTTGATTACAGCTGCTTATTTTTTCAGCTGTGCGTTCCCTTGAATACTATGCCAAAAAGCTACATCACAGGAGCCTGTAATTCCAAGCTGACCTAACATGGAGAGTGAGGGCACGTTATATTGCTGTTTATTGGGAGAACATACTGTACAGTGCTTTGCTGTAGTTAATCCTCGGTATTAAAACAAACTGATTCGGCCAAGTTCTTGTTACAAAGTTTCTTTTGGTCACAGAATAAATTTGTTGTATTTAATGATTCAGTAAATTTTCTAACTCAGCTGATGTCCTGAACTGGAAAAACAGAAACTTAATGAACATTTAGCAAAGGTCAACTCACTCTTATCCACTTAGACTATTCAGTGTCATTCCAGTGTCATCTTATATATAAGAAGGGCCTTTTTTATGAGGACATTTTATTACATTTTAATGATTATCTAATGTTAATGTTTAATTATTTGCTTTCCATTGCAGGTCTGCAGTTTGTAAATCATCGTCCAGCTCTGAAATGGCTGACAGGAAGTTGGATGGCTTTGGACAGATTTGGATGGTAGCGCTTATACTGCTGTGTAATCCAGCAGCGGTAGGTCAGCCAAAATGCACACAAGACACAGTTTAGTTCTTACTGATCTAAATTTCATAAATACAGCAACCACCTTTAATTCTACCTCAGAGAGTTATGTACTGCTAGGCTGTTTATGTTTGATGTTATCCTTTAAAGGACAAAAAATGCAGCTTCAGGTTGGTGTTTGGACACATCTGTGCACCAATACTAAGGCATAGATGTCATAGTTTCCATGCAGCGCAACTGACTTTAATGAATCACTAAGTATGACTCCCTTTTCCTGCATTTGGTAGTATGTGTTGACTGTTTTAGACTAATGCATCACCAGAGGGTTCACAAGTACATAACCAAAGATGGCTCAGAGACATCTTTACTCATTTTAAACATAACCAACAGTACTTTTTGTACCCTCTCACTGAGCGAGAATTTATACACTTGTTTCTTTTACTTGGTTTCTGTTGCACTGTACCATAACATATCTCTCATTCTACTTTGTAAAGCTTAAAAAAATGAGTGGATTTCTATTTTTTCTCACCTGTCTTGTAGTTTATGGTGAAGGCAAGTCTGGCGATCAATGAAACCCAGCAGCAGGCTTCAACCAGTGTCTACAATGACATTACGGTCACCAGGAACAAGATAGTCACAGCCCAGTTTGAGTGCTATCAAAAGTTAATGAAAGAAAATACCCACAGCAGACAAGGTAAAGCTGTCTTGATTGAAATTGGTTAAGAGAACCCTAATCTATTCCTTAATTCTTAGTTTGGAATGTTCCAAAGTGAAGAGCAAAAAAGCTCTTAAAATGATGTCTGTGTTTTTAGAACCTGTGTGCAATCGCACGTGGGATGGCTGGCTTTGCTGGGATGACACCAAAGCAGGAGTTACATCCGAGCAGCACTGCCCGGACTACTTCCAGGATTTTGATCCATCAGGTGAGATCTGCAGCTTCTAGCAGCCAATTTTCTTCATCCACCTGCAGATTTACAGATGACAACTTACTCTGATGATTATTCCTTGTTGTGGCTTTCAGGTCCTCATTCATAACTTTGAAGGCCTTTAGTAAAAAAACAAAAGCCCAAACCAAGATAACACTTATTATATCACCAAGGTTAAAGCTCTCCAGAACCACAAAAGGTATTATGTAACAGATTTCGCAGGCTGAGGGGAGCTCTTCATGATTAATGACTGTTCTTCATGTATAAATTTGCTTCACCTTTTAGCTTGAATCTTTCTAAGTGAAAAAAGCAAAGACTATACCTCACACTATGCTCACACACTGAATGTAAATACCAATTACAGCAAATGGCCATGAAGCAGAAAAGCTCTGTTCTCAGTATTAACACAGGATTTGTAATTTTTAGTGTATTAAATGTGTATTAAATCACTGACTTCAGCTCCTTCTGTTAATGAGGCAGGGTTTTTTGTGTGTGTGATTATTAACTTATGCGTGTATGGAGTGGTGTAAATACATCACTGTTTATTACAGTAAATTTGATTTAAGCGTCCGGGGACTTCTTAACCACATTCAGTCAACCGCAACCGTCAACAGGATGTGCAGGCTTATAATTAGATTTCATTCTTCTAATTGACGTTTTCATTAGCTCCATCCATAATGGTGTTTTTCTTTTTCATCTGCCTCTACCTTCTACTGGAAAAATCAGAATAATACATTTAAATTATTTACCACTTTTTGTTCTGCAGAGATGGTCACAAAGATTTGCACTGACAGTGGTCAATGGTTTCTGCATCCGGAGAGCAACAGGACATGGACCAACTACACCCGCTGCAATGAGCACACTGTAGAAGGCAGAATGGTAGGTTGAAAATGGCAGTAGGTAGGACTGAGTTTAAATGTTAGATAATCAACAATAGGAAAAGTATGGCTTTGATGGCCATGTGATGTGGTTGTGAGGGGCTCTGCACGCTCTGAACACCACAGCATGTCTGCTTGGTGACCAAATACAGGCTGGAATTTGTTCTGCTTTGGCCCAATTTCCCCCCCCCCCCCCCCCCCTTTTTTTTTTTGGACACAAGGAGAAACTATATTATAATTGCACTGTACTATAATTTCCTGTAACTGGTTCATAAAAAAACCCATCAGCTTGAAATTATAAATATTAAAAGACAAATGGAACATTTTCAAGAGCCTTTCAGTGCAAATGCTGAGATGTATGTTGATGCTTAGTCAAGTAGCCATTTGGAGAAAGATAATGAGATTACAGCCTGATAACCTAATTTCCATCTGTTGTTTCTTTTCAGACTGCAATGAACCTTTTCTACCTTGCCCTCATAGGACATGGGCTGTCTCTGACTTCCCTCCTCATCTCCCTAGCAATTTTTTTCCATTTCAAGTGAGTCAACTTCTGTTATATGCGCGACTTCCATAGACAGATGCTTCTCAGTCTGTGCATAACATAAAAGCGTTGTGGCATAACTTCAGTTTTCTGTTTTTCCAGGAGTTTGAGCTGTCAAAGGATCACCCTTCATAAGAACCTCTTCTTCTCTTTTGTTCTGAACTCTGTGATCACCATCATTTTGCTGACTGCAGTGGCCAACAACCAGGAGCTCGTGCAGAGGAATCCAGTCAGTTTCTTATTATTTGTATTGATTCACTTGACTGTAGCCTCACAAATGTCTCTATTAGTTTAATGTGCACCATTACACCGGTCATTCTAGTTTAATATTAAACATAAATCAATTGCTATAAATCCACATTTATTATGTCTTTTCCTTCCTCAGACAAGCTGTAAAGTGTCCCAGTTTATTCACCTGTACCTGTTTGGCTGTAATTACTTCTGGATGCTGTGTGAGGGGATATATTTGCACACTCTCATCGTGGTGGCAGTGTTTGCTGAGAAGCAGCATCTGATGTGGTACTATCTCCTAGGATGGGGTAAGAAGAGGATATCAGTCAGCTAATCACTACATTTTTCTAACTGAAGGGTCTTTCTTTACCTAACTTGCTCACTTTGTTTTGCAGGCTTTCCTCTTATCCCAGCCACCATACATGCCGTCGCTCGGAGCTACTACTACAACGACAAGTGAGTTAACGCCAATGCTTGTGCAAGAAGTTCTCCTGTATAATATTTTTTTAAGGAAACCCACAGATTGCTGTGATAGATTTGCTGTTATGTGATGCAACGTTACTGTTGTGTAAACCTTTTTTGTACTGCTCTCCTCTGCAGCTGCTGGATTAGCTCAAAAACATCACTGCTCTACATCATCCACGGCCCCATCTGTGCTGCTCTTTTGGTAAGAATACTACTTCTTTTCTTTCCTAACTCCAATCAGTTTCAACAAGTAATTCACTATATATCTATTTACTAGAATAAACCAGCTGATTTGTTTCATGTTTCTCTTGCCACACTGTTTGTTGCGCAAAGAGTACAATAAGCTGCTTTTGTCCTCCTCTGAGTGGACTCTGTGGGGGGTCCTGTGAGCAGGACAGTCTCAGAACATGCATAAGTGTGTTTGTCTTGTGAAATCAATGCATCTTCCCCTTTGAGAATCCACCCACTGGTCCCCAAGCTTATGTTGTTTTCTAGGAATTCACCTAATCAGCACATTGGAGCATGCTTCAGAGAACGCTGGTCCCTTAGGACAGTCTGTACTAAATGTTCAGCCTCCAACATCCTTTAAAATGTTATGTGTAGGTTTCCTAACTTTACCGTGTATCAGAAGTAGACTCGGTGTCTTATAATACTGCAGTAACGGAACTGAAGACTTTCTCGGCTTATTAGAAAAAGCAAACATTCCTCTTTGATTTTTTTGTTAACACTTGTCTTGTTAGGATTGACGTGTTTAAAGAAATGATGCCTAAAAGAAGCTTTGTAGTCTCTTAATAATTCAAATACAGTACTGTGCAAAAGTTTTGATTTCTTTATCATTTGCTTCCAATGAACTAGAAGTACTTGTAATATTTTAGAAGTGGTCTTAAGCAATAGTTCTCCGGGCTGAACGTCTTTCAACATTTTCAGTCCAGTCCTTGTACCAGACTATTTTCAGAGGAATCGGCATGATGTGCATTGTGCCCTTAAAAAAATCTGAGGAAACTCCTCAAGAGGAGGACAAAAAAGTATAACCTACAGCAAGTAAACAGTGTCTAACAAGCATGTCACCAATAAAGATTTTCACCTCTTATAAGAAATTGCCATACTGCTCTTTATGCTCTTATACTTGAGGCATTGCTTGTTTTCACATCCTATCAAAATACTAGACTGTAATGCTGATTTATATATGACTTCCCCCTTTAGGTTAATTTGTTCTTTCTACTCAACATCGTGCGAGTTCTCATCACCAAACTGAAGGTGACCCATCAAGCAGAATCAAGTCTGTACATGAAAGCCGTGAGAGCCACGCTCATCCTGGTCCCTCTGCTTGGAATTCAGTACGTCCTGCTTCCCTACAAGCCAGAGGGACGGGTCTCTTCGGAAATATATGACTACATCATGCACATACTCATGCATTACCAGGTGAGACAGCGGTTATTAATCAGTGTGAAGGTTTGAGGGGATTCTCGTCATTTCTACACATTCATATAAAGCATAGTGCCTGTGGCATCTACGGCAGTCTTTAACTGTTCTGTTTGTGTAGTTCTGTTGTCATTCTATCATGCATATTTATTTTATTATGAAAATTGATTGCTTTGTCTCCTTCGGTGCTTGAGACATGTATTTTAATAAAATCATTTGTTAAATGGACATTAACCTCATTGTTTTCTAGCTTTTAACAAGAGTCAAACATTCTCATTAGCCAGAGAAAAGACTTTGTTTGTCTAGCCCAGGCAAGAACAGCAGGAAGTAAGGCACAAATTATTTGAGTTGAAAGAGACTGAAATCCGTTGGATGTTGATGAAGCGTTATCTGATCATCTTGAGCTGTCCCAGTGTGCGCAGTGCAGGGAAAATGTCTTGAGTAACAGCCTGAATCAGCTTTCAAAATGTATTCACTTTGACCTCTTAAGTTTCCCTGCTTCACAGCACTTTAGACCCTAAGATGTTGTCTACAAATTACTTTCCTGAGACCAATTAGTAAGCTGTATGTCATCTCTCTTTTAATGTGTTTTTTTTTTTTTCATTCCAGGGTCTGCTTGTGGCCACCATCTTCTGCTTTTTCAATGGAGAAGTAAGACAGGGTTATGCCCTTTTATTATTCTTTTTTTTTTTTTTTTAGATATTTCAACACGTGTACACACTCTATCCCACACTTGTGCTGACCTCATGGTTGAGAAGGGTCATGCGTTGACAGGGTCATTGCCCTGGTGCTACTCTTCCAATGTTGGGGAAACTAATATGTAGTCATAACATTTCAGGCTACCAGCTTGATTACACTGAATGAAATTACAGCAAAGATACCCTAGAGAATAATCTAGCATGTTAAATTAAAAACTCTTGGAATGGGCTGTCCAAAGTACACCTTTGTTCAAAGGTCTTACTTTTTTGTCAGACCAAAAAAAAAGAAAATGCTGGTGATGCAAAAGTTTAGGAATGTTACCTTTCATTTTCTACAACCCAAGAAACTTCAGTCCAGGTCAGCGAATTACTAAAGTAGCTGACATCATCTTTGGGCATTTAGTAATAAATGGTAAAAATAAATCAACACCTATGATTCTGGATCCTTGCAAATGCATTGTTTCTACTTGCTTTCCCTGTGGTTATACCTAAAAAATGGAGCTTACAGTAGATTAAAGGAAGGTCAATTACAGCAGAGAAGCAATTTTTCAATAAACATTTTAAAATAAAATCAGCTTGTGCTTACAGCTGTTAGGTAAAGACAAAAGTCGGACTACTTCTCCAGCATTGCTCTCCACAGACTGAAAATTATGCTGCTAGCAAGCAGCCATGAGCTACATGCTGATTACTGTCAATTTTGCAGGCAATTGGTCTGCAGAGAACTTGACTTGAAGTGAATGGTTTACAAGATCCACTAAGTAACTTCCCTTTGATATTTATCTTGTGATTTTACTGTCATAGTGTGTCCTAACCCTGTGCTCATTATACGCTCAAAGAAAAAGTGGCATTGTTATTTCTGTACTCAGAAACACTGACTCAGTAAGGCACAATAGAACGACACTTTAATCAAAACACGTTTTTCTCAAAGAGAGCTTCAGAGAGAATTTACAGTGAAAGATAAACAATGCTATGTGAAGAAATGGATCATGCATGTTCCAGGTTTTGCTTTCAGGAGTGCCTCAACTATTCATGAAATAGATACACCAGTGTGCTGGAACCATCACACAGCTGCTGCAGACTTGTTGCTGCACATCCATGATGTGACATGTCCTGCCACATCCGAGAGGTGCTCTGTTAGACATAGATTTGGTCAATGTGGAGGCCATTTCAGTACAGTGAACTCATGTTTACTTTGCTAGAAGCAGGCATTAGGAGGCGGTACACTGTGGCAATAGAGGGATGGGGATAATCAGCAACAACAGTCTGGCTGTGAAATTAGCACCAAGGGGCCCAAAATGTGACAAGAAAGTATATCTCACTCCATATCTCAGACCACCACCACCAGCCTGAATTGTTTGCATGCTTTCATGTTGTTTACACCAATTTCTGACCTTACCATCCGAATGCTGCAGCAGAAATTGATGCTATTCAATCTTTTTCAATCTTCCATTGTCTGATTTTTGTGAGCCTGTGTGAAACATAGTCAGTTTCCTGTTCTTAGCTACCAAAACTGGTCGTGTGCTGCTGCACTCCATCTGCCTCAAGTTTCGGAGTATTTGCGTTTAGAGATACTGTACTGCATCCCTTAGCTGTAATGAATGGCTATTTGAGTGACTGTTGCCATCAGCTGAAAGCAGTCTGGTCATTGTCCTCTGACATCTGAAGTCAACAAGGCCTTTTCTCCAAGAGAACACCTGCTCAGTCAATATTTTCTCTTTTTGGACCATTCTCTGTAAACTCTAGAGATGGTTGTGTAGGTTGCAGCCCGTCTGGCACCAACAATCATGACCCTTCAGCAGATTGTCAGTCTGAATGCCTACATGCTGTTGCTGCCATATGTTTGACTAATAAGGCATTTTTACAAAATAACAGTTGAATTGATGTCCCTAATAAAGTGTCTCTGTGTCACAAGAATCTAATGAAGAACTAGAAAACAGAAGCACCCCTCCCCTGGTTCTCTGTGTATATATGTGCCCTACTAACCCACAAGCTGTTTGTTCTCCTTTTCGTACCCTCTCTTCCTCCCTCTTTTTCAATTCTTTCACCTCTCATTAGTGCATTGAGATCTGCCTGGCCCAAGTCCCTAAGGCCTTGGCCAAACCCCAACCTCAGTACATGCTTACTGCATCTGCCATTGTCTACTAGAAACGTTGTCCAAATAGTCTCAAGTAGTGAATTACCATCCAAAAAATGAAGACATCAATATTATGCTGTGGTTAGCATAACAGCACACTATTTTAGAGTTAGGTAGACTCTCAAATTGCCCTCAAATTTATTACAGTTGTGCAAAAAAATTTCCATGATGCCCTGCCGTTGTTCGTCCAGCAAAAACTAAAGCATCTAAAGCCCTTGTGTTACTTGGTACTTCTAGCTTTAAGCTAGGCTAGCCATGTCTCTGCTGTTTCTTGGTTGCTTACCAACAATGCTCCTGAGACTATCACATCCCAAAGGATGAAGTCATTTTAAGATCACATTTAAAATGTGGGAAATAAACAGATGTGCTTTCTCTCATAGATTAAGGTGATAAGAGGCATATCCCACTGCGCAAAGTGACGTCTTTTAGAAGTCATTTTTGGACGTATAATTTTGGTCCGCTGAAGGGGTTGTTTTGTAACAACAAGCGACGTCTTTTGTCTACATCCATTATACTTGTGTTGATGTCCGTATGACTTCCATGTATGGATTATTTATAGTACAAACAAATAAGTTAATTAAAATTAAAATAATCAATTAATTAAAATAAATAAAACAGTTAAAGCAAAACTGGAACTTTAAAAATAACAAGCAAAACAAAAAAAAAGAGAGACAATAAATCATGTAATCAAGTAATCCATATATTTATATGTATCATGTTGATAACAACAATTTTGATATTTGTAAATAAAAAAAAATAATAAATTTATTAATCATGTAAATTTCCTGCACCTATCATAGACATCCACATGACCTCCAAAAATATTACCCAGTCTAAAGTTCAAATGTTGAACATCATATTAACGTCCAGGCTGGGTCATGGTTAGATGCCAAAACTGTGGACCTTGTTTGGACATCCAGAATAGATGTCCAGAATCGGTCATGGACCAATGGACCCAATATAGACATTATCTGAACGTCTATCCAACGTCCATTGTTTAGTGGTGTTATCATGTCTATGAGTCATTTTAAAGGTTTCATATCAGCACAGATAAAAGAAGAAATGCAGTCCTTCGCAGGGGAATATTTTCCTATTTTCTTTCCCGAGTATCAGAAAATGTGAAAATGCTTACCAATTTTTATTTCTACCACTGCTTCAACTTTTCAAGTTTCGGATAATATACAATCATCATCTTCATATTTAAGAAATTCATCAATGAATTTCTTATACCGCTTTATCAATTAATTGTCTTTGAGTAAACTATTTCACTGACTATGTGATAATCAGTTGTTTCATGCTTACACAATTGGAGCTAGAAAGCTTTTAGCCTATATAAACATTAAGACAAAAACTTCACCTTAACTTTGGCTCTGTCTAAAGCACAGCTGTCGAATGCCAGTCCTCGAGGTCCGGTGTCCTGACATCTTTACACGTGTCCGTGCTGCAACACACCTGAATAAAATTTAGTAGTTCCTTACCTCTATAGAACTTGACTATAGGCTGATGTGGCAATTCAGCCATCTGATTTGTGGTTGTTACAGCAGCTTAAGAGTGAATGAACACTGTGCAATAAAAGTAGTTTTAGAATTATTATTTTTTTAAACTTACACTTTTATTAAAATATACTTGAGTAGGGTTGGGGGTTGCCACCTTGGCAAACAGTCAAGTCTTGCTAATGACCTACAAATTTTATTCAGGTGTGTTGCAGCAGGGACACTGCTGTAAATGTTTCAGGATACCGGCCCTTGAAGGGTAAAAGAATTCTGTTAACTGTTGTTTACCAATGTTGTGCTAAGATTTTACAAAAGTGTAATTGTCAGAAAGTCACCCTAGACTTTTCACAGATGTGCATGGAGAAGCTGGTGCCAAAAAATAAACCAAAAACCGAAGCAAAAAACCCCAAAAACATCTAAATATTTATTTTTGTATTTTGTTCTGCCATCTTATGCAAAATTACTTTGGGCTTATCACTTGAACTCTCAGGCTTTATATCACCTTTGAAAGCTTTCCTGTCAGCTAATATCTGATATATGATCCCTCTGGTCAGGTCCAAGCTGTTCTGAGGCGGCACTGGAACCAGTATCATATCCAGTTTGGCAGCAGCATAGGAAACCACTCGGATGCCCTGCGCTCAGCTTCCTACACAGCTTCCTCCATCACTGAGGTACAGGGCTGCTACAGCATCGACGGTCACTCGGAACACATGAACGGCAAAGGCTGCCACGACTCAGATGCCTCCATACTCAAGTCAGACAGCCCCTTCGCCTGACACAAACAGTGCTCTCAGACTCTGTCCATCCCACCATCACCCTTAAAATCTGCCACATGCTTGGAGCTCGCCATCCAGGAAAACTGGCCACTTCCCATAGATACATAGAGGAAAACGAGTGAGGGGGAAAAAGGATTGTCCATCCGGGCTGTCATGCATCTGAAGGAAATTATGACTTCTTATCCACACCAACACAGGTCCTTTAACTGTACTGTACGGTGAGCTTGATACAGCTACTCCTGCGCTGTGCTTTGTCTACAATTTGCATCTGAACTGCTTTACTTGGACTACGATGCTTTCAGATCTTTCAGCCTGACTAAATCATTTTTAAATCAATAATTACTGACTGCTTGATTATCCTCCCGGGTTCATGTTGTGCACAAAAGGCCTTTGGTTACACTGTAAATTCTTTTGACACAGTTAGTGCCAAACCAAGAAATCTTGCCTGCCTCATTTATTTTTTTCATTATCAATAATGAATCAGATAGGACGTCTAACATGTGCATATTGAAGTATTAAACATATCTGTATCTTTCACATGTTAAACTTAATTTATCAACATATTCTTGTTTATTAAATGAAAATGGATTAAATATCATACAGTATTTATGAAAGGTTTATATGTTACATGTTTGTTTTTTTTATTTTCAAAATTAAATACTGATATAACTTGCCAGCAGCACAGAAAACTTTTCTTTGTTTCAGTGTTTGTTCCTGTGTGTGCAGTTCATGCAGGCGATTTTGTTTCGCACCACTAGCTCACGCTCTTCATTTCTAGTCAAGATGTTTGCACCTGCTCAAGTGATCCTTACTAACGTGTGCATCAGTTAGGCCACATGGTTGCAATGTTTACAGAATATTATCAAAGAGAAGCCACATTTGAATGTTGACAGCCAATGGTGTGTTTCATTTGAACTTGGAATTTTCCCAACCAAAAGTTTGTTTTTTGTTTTTTAACTGGAACACCCCCCTCAAATCTGACTTCCAATTCGGAAGGTTGGAGAATTCCCACCAACAACGATTTTACAATCCAGTATAGCAGTGCATGTAATCTGTAAAGCTTATATTGCTGAATAAGCCATATTCAGAGCATTGACCACGTTTTGTGTGTGAACATGCAGCAGTGGTGTTTTCCAGCTTATAAAATAAGCAAAGCGCTATATTGCTAGTCATGCGTGAATGGCTCTACCTTGCGAAGGAGCAGAACGCCGCTAGGACGCACCCGGCTCAGGAGTGACATCACACCCCACTCTGATGTGCAACTTCCAAGGCAAATGAAATGCAGCATTTATTTAAAGACTTGGCTCCTTTAAGCACACATCACATTTACTTTTACTGCTGTCTTTATCCTTACCCCTCATAAAGCATTTAAAAATAATTAAGATGTCAACAGTACTCAGTTTTCAGACAGAATACAGGAAGTTAATTGGATGACGTGCTGCTTTTTCCAGTACCGTAGTAGGAAGAAAATTAAATCAAATTGAAGAAGACCACAATTATTAATGTTCGCATGAAAGAGGAGAAAGATTTAATTCCTCTTGTGTAATGAACAAAGCCATGTTTCTGTTTCTTTATAGTTCAACCGTTAGAAATTACGGTAGATTCACTTCCATCTTCTTTGAAGCCAGTACACATTATTCTTTTCTACCTAAACTGAATCTGTATCTTAATGTTAGCAAGTGTACTATCTGTACTAAAAAGCTTACCGATTTGTAAGAAACTTCAGGCCGCTAAATCCTGATATAGGTGGGATTACTTTTGCATTTTGTCCCCGTCTTTTTACAGGATAGTCATGCTACGAAACAATATCTTAAGGCCAGTATGAACGTTTGAGTTTAGTGATCTTATAATCAGTTTGCACATAAAAAATGGAAAGTGCAATAGAAGCAGGCAAAATCGTGATGCAAAATGAAGCAAGCAACATTAATGTCCACTAACCTGTCCTGCTACACTGAAGACACTAAAAATGGCAAAAGAGGAGAAGCATTAGATCTGTGTGAAGTGTCAAGGAATAGCGTTCCTTATTTTCATGCATGAGCAAATTATACAAATCTCCAAAACTTCCACTGCCTGTTTGTTTTAGGTCTGACTGGTGCTTTCTCAGTTACTTTGATATGAATCCTACCTGGGGCAAAACCCTTCTTACCTCAGTGAACCAAATCTTTATAGTGATTAGTGGATAAAAATGCATGCATTAATTTAGCCTACTCTTATTCCCAGGGATGAAATACTGATGTTTTGTCAAAGCCTCTGGAGTCTCCAATCCTTACAAGCTTGTGGTACTACAACACACCTAGTTTAAGGGGTCTCTTGTCCCCAAATCATCACATATTGACACTTGTAGAGGAGCTCTTGGTGTTGTATTTAACCACACTGGTTTAGAGCATTTTTTATACATGCAGGGTTATGAATTTAAAACTTGGTCCCTTCCTATGCCTGGTAGTTTTACTATTTACTACTATTATTTCTGTATGGGACGCCAGTGACATCTGATAGAATGTCAATATTTTGTGACCAGGGATGAAAACGCACAATTTACTCTTCTTTTTGGAATTTATTTAAAGGCTAAAAGTATTTTATTCCCCGAGAGTGAGGTATAAAGAAGACATTAAGGGTTAAGGTATATGATTTTATTTTTTGGAAAGAGCCCTCTGCTTTAGCACAGTGCTAATGCTAGTCTGCACACAGCCTTATTAAGAAGTGTACATGATAAACTTGTCACATTTTACACCACAAAACACTAAAAATTGTAAAAATGTGTACTGATAAAACAGTTTGAAAGCATTTACTGAGAAATGTGTGTTCTCATTCACATCACAGAACCTTCTTTGAACTTTTGTTTCTTTTTTTTATTTGTCTTTTTTCTCTTCACTGTAAATCATTTTAACACATTTTCCATAATGCTGGGAACACACGTCACTATCAGTCAATGTAAATATTTTATAAATCTAACATTTCTGCAAAGGGGACAAGTGTGAGTGTGCGTATGCATGATTTATATATACAGTATAAATGAGTACAGTATACTCATGAAAGCATTCAACCACTGTCTGTGTTTTATTTTTTTTAATGGTAGTAACTCTTTCATAAGATTCATTTGTGAAAAATCTCATGGATATCTGAAATAACCACCAATGAAAAGGTCAATACATTTACATTGCTGGCTATTCATTTATGTATGATAACTGTTGTATGTTTCCATTGTCAGTCTTTAATACAGCTGTGACTTAAAGCACTTATTTCTACACTAAACAATGAATTGGCATATTTTTAAGAAACATTATTAGTAAGTGGTTAATGTTTGAGGCAAAACCAATCAGTTTGCGTCATATGTTCTCAGTTTTCATTCTGTATTGATTCTATGTGAGATCAGGCTTTAATATCCAACATACAGTTTGTAGTTTTATCATATCATATCTGCAGGACAGTTTCTTCATTTAAACATAAACAATACAATCTGCATGTATGGTTGACGCTGTACTGCTTTGCAGCACGTGATTCATGTACAATGGGAAAGCTATAAAGTATCCATAAATAGTCATTTATTGTGTAGTAATGCCTCATAATCATTGATGAAAGTAATTTCAGATTTGTGGAAACACCATAGGCTTTTGGTAAATGTAGTAAATCTTGTGTATCATTTAAGTTGTGTATTTATGTGTGAAATGTTTTCATATGACTCTCCAAAGGATTTGTGATGTCCCCGATGACACTTGGTAAAATGTTGTAAAGTATGACAAAAGTATTGAGGACTATGTCTGTAGGTTTTGTTTATACTGTACTGTATCTAACTTTGGTAGTCTTGACACATTGACTTCACACTGCTGTTTGAATGTAAATGGTTTTGTTTTATTCTCTGGATGTGAAGAACGTATATACACATATATTTACGTACAATGTCTCTTTTTTTATTATTTCACTGAATTAGACAATGTCGCTATCTTGTGTGTATCTACATACTAATACAGTATGTAGATACACAATATACTATATTAGTATACAATGCAATGTCTTTGCAATAGTTAAATTGCTGTCCTGCAGCAACTGCATCAGAATTTGTGGAGGAATTTCTGAACTTCGTTGAGGTTCTGGCTGGACTCTGAATGTAAACAGTGAATTTCTGTGAGATGGCAACAGATATGACAAACTAAGCAGACTGACTTTATGCACTGAGGTTGCTTCAAAGATAGCAACTGACTGCAAGTGGTTGTAGACTAGTCACTGTCTCTCAAAGGCAACAGTAACAATAATTATGGTTGTGCCACAGTCTCTAACCACCAGTTTCCTTAATTTGACTGTATGATTAGCAAAAGATACCCAAGCTAAAGACCTGCATCAAACTGCAGTACAATGTCCATAAAAAGTCCTGTTCAGGTTGCAAACTCTCGCCTGCATCATTCTACAGCCATTCAAGCAAATCTATTCAATTTAATACTTCGGTGTAACATTTCATATCATTCTCACTTGTCCCATCTACTATATACTTGATTTATGAGTTTTGTGTTGAAGTGAAACATCCCAAAAGAACACAGTGTAACTGAATTGTGTAGTTGATTTGACACGTCTGGGACTCTGTAGTGGGGGCTGTTGTAATGAGAAACATCTGCTATGTTGCCAAAGAGTCCCCACTGAAACCGTCAAAGCGAACAAACAAGCTTCATTTTTTTTTATGTTGTTCCGTTCCCGAATCCCTTAAGCGTTGGGTAATTTCTGAAGAGTCTATTAAAAAAATCATGTGATAATGGGAGATTATGACTAACACCATATTAATACAAATTACTTAATTTAACCTAGTTTATGAGCAACATATTAACAGGTGACTAAGTGCACAAAACTTGAAAGTGTTGCAAAGTACAGAAAGACCATGAGGTGCAATAATATTTTTTTTTTATTAACATTGCACAGACAAGTTGAATTTTATAGAGTGAAAAATGATTCATGGTCCCGCACTTTGATAGTTTGATACGTTTTTCACAAATCTATAACCTGTCATGTCTTATGCATTTAGAACTGTCTTAATTCTTCATGGCACCGACTGAACTAAGCGTAGGTTTCCTCACAGATTTTGGTCCATGGCTGCTGGCTGATGGTCAATCCAGCTGGAAGCTGCGGTACCATCAGTATAATGACAGTAGCATGGGTTGCTCTGATCTGTTTAAACACTGACTAGGAAAACTGAGCAATACATACTTTAAAATATGAAAATATGAGTTTTTTAACAGATATTTACCTTGATTATGTATTACAAACATCAGCCATCCATAACCTTAGCATGTTTTTATGTGTATAAGCTCCATTGACAAACCACGTCTCAGTGAATTTACTCTTTAATTTGGAATTAATGTTCATGCAAATCGAGACAATGTAGGGTTTAACACTGAATACAACCCTAATGCTACTAATGCTGTTCTTGGTATAATGTTCATAAATATTTCAAATAAGCAAGGTCTTAATGGAATATTTAGCGGTATAATATTATTTATGAGACTATGAGAGATTATATTGATGCTACTGAGAGTGTGCACTTTAGCAGCACACTATACTTTTAAGCATTAAATTCTGCTAAACAAAGTTGTCTACTCAAATGAGTACAAAACTGTAAAACACTATAAAGGTAAAGAAAATCCAGCCTTCTACAGTATGCATCCTGCTTTGTCCAATTAAGACTCCCGGCACCAC